TTTTCATATTTTGGCTGTTGGGGATATTAACATCTATTGAGAACCTTTCACTTACGGGGTACTTATTTAACTCCTACAACAATCCCATGAGGTAGAAATTACCTTTATTGTACAGAAAAGGAGACTGTGGTAAAGAGAGAAGGAACATGTCCAGATTCACACAGCTGGCAAGGCAAAGCTGGATTGGAACATGGAACTCAGAGATATGTGAATCCATTTATTCTGTAACAGGTCACCATTAGCTCCACAATGAACTGTCAAGTCTAGGCTCTCTTTGCAGTGGCACTTCAGAAACTGGGAACGTGTGTTTCCTCCTGAATGACCCAAAGGCTGTCCCTGGAATGTTCTGAAGAATAGTTTATGCATATTATATCGACTTACCCACTTGGCCTTTTTCTCATTCTCTAACAACTTTTTAAATGGCCAAAATATCACAGCTACCTTTCAAACTCTCAACTCAAGTTCTATGTGCAATTACCATAACTGAATGAAAAATTGACTAATGTAAAGCGAAAATATTTTCCAGTGTAAAAGGTCTTGATTTATTCGAAGCCATAATTGTTGTTTCTAGTAGCAAATGATTACTACTGATTGCCTGATTGACTACAATCTCATGATATTTAATGCAAGAAGTCAATATTTTAGTTATTTACTGGCAGGCAAAGTCATTTATTTGTGGTACTCGTATAAAAATAGTCTTAACTTCTATCTTTGGTTGTTATCAATTGAGTAGGAAATTTAAATCAACCTGTGAGAAATCAATAAAATGCTACTGAACAAATTGTCCATCATGCTCATTAGCCTAGCATCTATGTATCAGGACTATACAGGATACGTCACAGGTGCTGACACACGTTTAAAACTGACAACAAAAAGCAACAGAATAACAGGAAACAGATTCAGTGCTGCTCTTTAATATCCACTTGACTAGAAACCAAAATGAAGGATTAAGCAATGAAATGGATAGGCAAGGACACCTCCCCTTCCTCCTACCACATCTTCCAAAGCAGCCACCAAATGCTGCATGTCGTAGATAAGGTCAACACTAAGCTTAAATATATTTTATGTCAGGCTGGCCTAGGAAAATCTGAATTATGTCATCGGAAAATTACCTGATGTTGATTGCTAATAGAAGAAACACAAATGACTGGATACATGGCTTAATTATAAATAACCCCAGAAAGTTTTGGAGTAGTAAGGTATACTTGTATTTTAGCCTAAGTTATAATAGACATTTTACTAATTTATTCATTTAAATATCACATTTTATACAGAATTCTACAATAATGTGTGGTTAAATAAATCAACTAAGAATAGGTGTTAGTGAGACGTTTTTCCAGTGGAATTGTCAGGCAAAAATATTTGCAACAGCTATAAAGCCAGAGTAATAAATATTTAACACAACGTTATGATTTAAAGATCTTATACATCATTTCAGGACCCAGATAAACTCTTAACAACAAGAAAATAAGAATCACAAGTCACTGGAAACTTACAACAACCATCCAAAGCTTTAGGAGATGAATTAAAGCAGGAACCACATGTAGTTGGTAGTTTTGTGGTGGCGTTTCTCGTTATTAGTTTAATTCAGAGTAGAAGAAAAGATCAGTAATCAAGATCGCAGTAGGTAACGCCCATAAGTTTAAGTGAGCGTTCATCCAAACCTCCCTAACCATGAACTCCCGGCTACAGACGCGTCAAGTGTTGGGCACTGTCCACACCTCCTGGAGCCGAATGGTTCATGAAGAAAGACTCATTTTATTGTTCTTTTTTCTCTCACTAAATTTAAGAGATCTTCAAGAGGCCAGATAGTTTTAATTCCTCAAATGGAAAAGTTCCACCACTAGCTGAAACATCTGAGATCCTTGCTACTGTACATGCCCATGTTAACTTAAATGTCACTCTCGAGTGAACCAAAATTGATGACATTTTAGTTAGAAAATGTAGGAAAAATGCCAGGAAAAGTGTGGCATGAGCAGCAGTTGCCACTGGATGCTTCTCTCTCACAATCAGATGATATTTAACAATAAAGTGCAGCAGAATCAAGTTTAATGCTGAAGAAATCAGATGATATTTAACAATAAAGTGCAGCAGAATCAAGTTTAATGCTGAAGAAATCAGTTGTCAAACTTTAAGTCAGTCAGGGCTTGAATGACAACATAAAAGAATGATAATTTTAAAGGCAAACTGGATTACATGATTTGAAGTGATTACTTAAAAATAATGAATGCTGTAACCAAGCAGATGCTTACGTCTGCTTTTCTCTTTGCTGCTTCTTTTCATAAATGTAAACAAGTAACATTCCTATTTTCACAAAGACCTAAAGTAAAAGCCAGGCTCAGGGTTTAGGGACGGAGGTCACTTCAGTGAACTCTGCCAGACAGCCTCCTTCTCACGTGATGCTCAGACCTCGGTTCCTGCATGTACACTTGGTCATAGGACAAGGGTTTGGCTGCTCATTGCACAGAAGGCTGACGGTTTGGGGACAACTGTCACCTCAAGAGTGGACTCTCTGTTTTGCTCACTACTGGTAGTACCCTACACCATACCTACAATAACACTGGAGGAACTAAGGAAAATCCCCCAAAGAAGGGAAGTTTAAGACCACTGCTATAGAAACAGAGAAGCCAGAACATAGACCCCATCCCTCTGGTTTCGTGAGCGATGCTGTTAGAGTGACGCTCACCCGACTCCGCCAGCCAGGAATGCGGCACTGGGATGGGCGTTCCCGTCGTCTGAATGATAAACCGGAGCATGGCAAACCTGAAAACAGCTGGCTTCTGGAGAGTCCTGCCAGCATAAGTAACTAATTTTTGAGAGAACAAACTACATCTTCAAACAATTTTCCTCTCGGGACTGACTCGGCTGAATTGTGTTTGCTCAGGTAATATATGAGTTTCTGCCCTGTTAGAAGCTGCTGTGGACTCAGGAATACACTTTCAGATGCGGTCCTCTATACTTGTTCAGGTCTCACGGGTTCTCCTCTGGACTAAGAACAGAATGTCCGACATTGAAGGAACCACTTGGTCAGTCTGGTTTAAGAGCTAAGCTGGCCTCACGGCTAGTTTTCTAGCCACATATCACCTGACTATCACCTGAAAATCAGCTGTGGTATTGTCTCTTTGACAGTTGATGAACTTTCTCCTTTTTTTGTGTGTGTGAGGAAGATCGCCCCTGAGCTAGTATCTGCCAATCCTCCTCTTTTTGCTGAGGAAGACTGGTCCTGGGCTAACATCAATGCTCATCTTCCTCCACTTGATGTGGGACGCCGCCACAGCATGGCTTGCCAAGCAGCGCGTCGGTGAGGGTGAGCGCCCGGGCCCCGAACCTTCGAACCCCGGGCCATCGCAGGGGAGCACGCGCACTTAACCGTTACGCCACCAGGCCAGCCCCCAGGACATATTTTTTTTAACATAAAGCTTATTACATCAATCTTGCATCTGACTATAAACCATTTGAATTGTAATTCTCAAGACTGTCTTTCTATTTGATGCTTTATTTCTTCCTGATATCTCAATGATTATCCATAAATATTTTCACCGTATAGTAAAATTGACTATTTGAAGGCAACAGTTAATAGACATGAGGAATTAGAAGGAAAATCTTTGAAGCCAAACATATTGGGTGTTTTTCTACATCTCATAGCCTGTGAAAATCTATTTATTACTGAGCAATACCAACTATATATATAAAATATCAAAATGATCACTAAGACATTAGTGAGATGGTGACTTTAAATTACAGAGAATATATCTGTTTTCCTTGCTTATTCTCACTTATTCCTACAGGTAAAGTCCCATGAACAAAACATGTGTAAATAAAGCATTTATTTAAAGGCATGGCCTTGCAATGACTGTTACTCTAAAACAAAAATATTCAAGAGATTTCTAAGAAGAGAGATCCGCTTTCAAAAAATAGACATCACTTAACAGAATTCTCCTCAATTATATGATTACTATATGGCTCTGCTTTTTTCTCCCTCACAGTTTTGTAGAAAAAGTAATTTGCAAGTAGTTTACAACATGTGTAATTTGTCTGATAATTATAATAGATGCTCATTGTGTCTATATATACTTCCTGAAGGAGCAAATAGCTGATCACTGCCCAGAAGACTAAGTGCAGGCAACACAGTCTAACTGGAGATGCACCCTCCCCTTCCAGCCCTCCTCTGGCTGTCCAATTACAGGATATTTTACCCGACAAAGGAATGACACTGTGTTTGTTCTATTTAAAAATAAAACTAGACTTATGAAATGCAGAAGGATTCAAATGATTGGTGGGGAATTTTGGATGGCTAAGGCATTTCTGTTCTCTGTACTTTCAGCAGAAAGCTGTAAATTTTTCAAACATGGTTGCTTGAATGTTGAGTTAACTGCTTCCCTCTGCTGCAATCTGCAGCCCTCTCCACACAGGTTCTCTGCCTCTGAGTCTGGTAACCTGCAACCCTGCAGAGTTTAAGGCATTCACTATAACCCCATCTGGGATATTGCACAATCCTTGTGGTTTTCCTACTCTTTGCCCCTACCTTTTAAACGATCCCTTTAATAAACTCTTTCAAACTATTCTGAGTGTGCCATCTCTTTTCTGTTGGACCCTGACAATTACAGTTAGTTCTTATTTATTTCCTTAGGAAAAATTCCACTGATACCCCACGTATATGTATAAACAAAGCATTTATTTAAAGACTTGGCCACTTAGCGCATCAATGATGTTATAGCACAAAAATATAATGCTTAATAAATGTTTGAATCATTTATATATCAATGGAATGCATTTAACTAGGAATATCTAGATATAACTATCAACCAAATTTAGAAAGATTTCTGACAATCATCAAGATATTAAGTCTACATTAAATGAAGCAAATATTTAAAATTATTTCTGCAAAGTTATTGAATTGCTTATATGGAAAGCAGAAAGCAAGTTAGATATTCCACTTCAAAATATTTTCAAGAACACAGTTTATTTTTACAGACGTGTATGTAAAGAGAAATACTTACCTTTTCACCAATTTCTCCTTTGCTGCCTTCAAAACCTTGCTCTCCCTGTAGAAGAGGAATACGATGTGTAAAATAACAGGCATACTACTTTTAACACATGTAATTCATACAATAATAATGTTTATAATAATGAAAAATCAGTAGTTATAAATAAAAACCATTTCTAATATGTATGCTCTAAACCAATATTAAGTTACATTAAATTTAAATATTCCTAAATACTGAAGGAGTAATTCTCTAGGGTGTGAGCTGCATCTTCACTACTTCCAATGCAATTTACTCTCCATCAACCTGAATTCCTCCATATACAGCACCTTTCTCATAGGCGTTTTGAGAACTGAATGCATCAACATAGTGCCTGGCACAGACTAAGTCAGCTGTTATTGTTATTATTCCTATTACTCTTTATTTCACTAGATCCAGTAGGAACAGCCTCCTCAAGCTGACTTCTATAGAACACTGTTCCAGAGAGAGCCATGTGATGAACGAGTTCAGGTTGGAACCCCGGGTTCTGGCTCCAGCGCTGACACCAGCGCCATGCCCTCCACCACCCAGATCTCCTGCCTCTCAGTCACGGAAAGAGGCTTGGCTCTCAACCACCATGTTTATTCTAAAAGGTTTAAGTTCTCTGTGCTTCAGCTAAACTCTCTCTGATCTGATAAGCTTATTTTCCCACGTAATTCTGTACAGATATTTATAGTACTGATGTTTCATTCATATAGTCAAAAAATATTCATTGAACATCAAACATATGTCAGGTGCTCAGGACAACTCAGCCAGCAAGTCAGTGTCGGGGAGGGATCACGCTCACCCCTCCAGCCAAAGCAACACTCGGCAAACATTTCCTGAGTCCACTGAGACAAGGGAGGAAGGGTTCCTTATCTCCAGTTTTTCCTGTAATGCTTCAACACGGTGACACTTAATACAAGTAAAATCATATGTTAGGAAAAAATGCCAGCTTTTTACTATATGTATAGTCTTTGTGTGTATATTATATATAATGTGTACGCATACATGTACACACATACACACACTATTAAATAATTATTTCTGCTTCATCTACCCTCAAAAAAGGTACCAGGAAAGAAAATAGGTTAGTATTTGGGTATATTTGCCACTGAATGCACGATCTACCTTTTTTTCTAACATTTTTCCTAAGATATAGGCTTTCACTTGATCTGTTAATTCAAGCTGACACTGAAGCTGCTACACTCCCCCAATACATCAGCCACAATGTCAGTGTGATGCAGCCACCACAACCAGCTGCTGGAAAGTCCAAAGCCATTTCCCAGCAGATAAATCTGCACATCCCTTGGCTTGCAATGCGACTCGCAGACGCAGCACATCCCGTATCAATGGGTTTTGTCTAGAACTGCTGTGAAAAAATTCAGAAGCTTGCCACTTCATCGCTGCCAGTTCCATCGTATTATCTTTATCAAGCCAAGTAAAGGAAGCATTTTCAAAAGCTGTAACTATAAATAAGTACATATCTTTTTCATGGTAATTTTTAGCTACAGAGAAAAACCTAGATGCTATAGTAACTTCTGGCATCTTGTTGCTAAGACCTATAAAACTTCTCCAGAGAATGGAAATGACATGCTTGGCTTTGGTGGGCATCTGATACTGCATCAATAATGCTCTCCCCTGTGGTGGGATTACCTGGGTGGTATCATGACAGCTGGCTCCACCTGAGGTGGCTCCCCACCCCTCCAGGAAACTGGAACAGACCAGTCTCTGTGTTTCCAGCTATGCTGGTCATATACAATCACACTCCTTCCCAGGAGGAGAACACAGCCCTTGGACGGTAACGGGGTATAAATGAAGTTCATCTTGGTAAAGACAAAGATACTAGGCACAGAAAGAAGTGGCCTAGTCAATGCGAAAATCCTTATTTATTATGAATTTGTCATTCTGAAAGATATTTTTTGAAGAGATTAGCTGTAGCATCTTTGTAATGTTTAATATTTTATGTCATTATAACTATTATGTTTAGCCCAATCAGGGATAAAAAGAAAGATAAATAAGAAACAACAATATACAGTCAAAGGCAGTAAAAACCATTCCATTCTTCATTTTAGACTCTGACTCATAACAGTGAAAACATTTCCAGAGCAGCCATGCACGATCCCACCGGCCCCAGGAAGCACCACTGCTGACTTCTCTGGAGACGCACGCTGCTGAAGCTCTGGGACAGAGCCCCCTCCTCGAGTGGTCCCTTTAAGACGGGACTGCTTCCAGGGTTCTCTCTTCTCTGTGGAAAGACTGGTTAGCAGCTTTCCAAAAGAGTTTTTTGGGGGATTTCAGTTTCATAAAATATGTTTTCTGAATCTTCACTGTATTATGTGCAAATTCAATTTTCAAGATGTTAAAATTCTTAACTTAGGTGAAACATTGAAAAACTCTTTACCTTTTGACCAGGTAAGCCTGGAGCTCCATGTAAACCATCTTCACCCTAAAAGAAGCATAAAGGATAAATTTTACCAGCCATAAAAGACAAATGACTAGAGAAATGTTTGCAGTCTTGAAGAAGCAGCCGTAGCGTTGCAGGGAAAGGTGGCCTCGGGCTGACTGTCGACCAGGCGCAGGGGCTCCGGCGAGCCCGTACCCCACAGTTGCAGGTTAGGACTTTCACTTAAAACGTAGGAAAATGGAGTCTCTGAAAGGTTCGGTAACATGCTCAAGGTCACACACCTACCCAGTGGCAAAACCCAAGATTTGAACCGAGGTCTCTCTAACCCCACAGCCGTGTTTCCCCACAGGCTATGCAGTACCCTTATTTCATTTTCTCTCTTTCAACCCCCTGGTCATAAGATTAAAGTCTGACACAAGCTTTTTATGGGCACACACTGTTCACACAACAAACCTATCGGGTAGACACTATTATGACCATCTTATTACAGATGATTACACAATCAGTAGGAGATAAAACTGGAATTATATGAACCCACACACTTTCAGCTCTGTGCCGTAACCACCTCCCTACACTGTCTCATGGAAAAGATTGAATTCTGGCTTGTAAGTGACCTCATCTAAAAACTGAATATATCTATATATTATATACGTATGAGCATGTTCACTTTCTTGTTCATTCTATTGGTTGCCTTTAAATCAGTTTTGAAGACAATGCCATTTTCCTTGCAACAATAACTTGGGAAAGTTTTTAGTTCTTCCCATTCATCTGGTTCCTATCTTGGGTAAAAAGGTTTTCAGCAGATGCTTATCGATTTCCATTACTGGAATTCACGGGCCATCTCTTTGACAAGTCTGGTTTGTAAACAGCACACCAGCTAGAAGGTGATACTCCTGGGAGAATGTGCATATTCTCAGTGGAGTCTTAGGAATTTAGCTGCTTATAGGAATTGACTTTGGCTCCTGACTTTCTGGGTTTACACAGCTCAAAATAATTGACAATTCTATTGACCTCCTTTATTTCTAGCTAGCACTTATAATTCATTTTTAAGACAACAGTTGTTAAAGCGTTACCGAGAATGAAGTTAGATACCATTTCTTAGAAATTTTAAATAAAATTCAAATATGTGAAGAAAAAAATCACATGTTCAAAATTTAAAATAGCAACAACATATTCTGTCTAAAATTAAAGAGATTTTTATTATTTCATTAATTAATACATTTTGGAAAGTTTTAGTCATTTTTACCAGAGGTGTACTGCTATATACATGCACACATATTATTTTAAAGACTAAGGCAGTTCTTAAATTATCTAAGTGCTTTATAGTATAACTGCTATCATCACAGAATACAGTAAACACTAAAAGCAAAACTTTGTTGCAAAATGTAATTGTGTTGAAGCATCAATAAAATATAATGTACTTATTTATGTAATAAATATATTTGTTATTTAAAAAATTGTTATAGTTCTAGACCTCAGGCATCCCACAAATGTATTAGAAACTTCCCATTTCATTTGATAAAGTGATAGTAAAAGCACATTAAGTATTTGACGCCAGAGAACATTCTACGGAAATTAAGCTTCTGTTACTCATCGCAGAAATATGTCCACTTGTCCATAAGGAGCAGAATTATTTTCATCAGTTGGTCCAATACAATGTTTTATATCATATTACAAGTTACACACGATAACAAGATGTGGCATGTAATCCAGTAAAGCACACTGATACAGTGTACACACCAAAAAGACTTTTTGGAAAAAAAGAAAGTAGTGACCGTATCTCCTTCTCTTTTCTTTGCTCACAGCCCACTCCTACGCACTGTGTGCTCCAAGCACTGGCACTTTTCAAGTCCCACTTCTGGCAGATGTCAGGTTAGGGTTACGCCCAGAGTTGCTGTTAATTGGGTACCAAAAATCTCTACAGCTATGACATTAAGACTATTTCACTTTCTAATGGACACAGGTTTTACGATTTTTTTTTTTTTTTAAAGATTTTATTTATTTATTTTTCCCCCAAAGCCCCAGTAGATAGTTGTATGTCGTAGTTGCACATCCTTCTAGTTGCTGTATGTGGGACGCGGCCTCAGCACGGCCGGAGAAGCGGCGTGTCGGTGCTCGCCCGGGATCCGAACCCGGGCCGCCAGTAGCGGAGCGCGCGCACTTAACCGCTAAGCCACGGGGCCCGCCCCGATTTTTGCAATTAAAATGTTGTGTTTTCCTATGGCCAGTGTTAATTGGTCACTGCTCTTTCCTGACTAGGAATTTGCTTTGTAAACATAATTCAAAACTCCAAGATAACCAAGGGACACCACTGATTACTCTCACAGGAAATGAGTCAGCTCCACACAACACACCAACATGTGAAAGATTTGAGGTTTTGAGTGGAGACTTGAAGCTTATTAAAGTTTGCAACTTTTGTATTCAGAAACCTATTTATTTTCTTCTCATTGATTTTCTAGAAGTTATCAAAGATATCCTACTTAGAAACTTATAATCATTTAAAATAATTTGTGATTTTTCTAGTCCTTGAGTGATAAATTAGCATATTTGTTTTTGTCTCTCTCTCTCTCAAAAAAAAAAGATTTTTAAAGTAACATAAAAATTGTGGAAGAAAATAGTCTTAAAGACCAAAATTTTAACAGATTAATGGACAAAAATGTTTCTATTAGGACTTTATCCAAAATCTAATTTTAATATCAACAGAATGAGCCCTTCTTCATGCTCACTCAATCGAAGTGTCAAAGCTCTCATGCCCCATGCAGCTTGGGGCCAAAATTGAATCCTATCTACCAAATAAACACCTGCCTAGAATTACTGGACAGCAGACATCAGTTGCTTTTTCTGAACTCCTTGCTGTCCCTGCTTCCTCCCAGTCTCAGCACAAGGAAGAAAGAAGAAGCTTACCCTTTGGCTTCCAATTAATATTTTAGCCCATTGTTGAAAGAAAATTACAATCAATGTTTTCCATAGCTACCATAACTTTCAAAACTTGTTTCTGAGGCATATACTTCCTATTACAGGGTTATCTATCAAAGGGCCCGTGGCCCTTTCCTGTTATAAATTCAAGCTACAGACAGGCAAATGAACATCTGTCATATCAAGCAGGGCCACATCTAACATCGCTGCTGATATATTGTTGCCATGTTATTGCTGTAAGACATAGCATATCTTCAACTTTACGGAGCAATCTAAAGCACCCTTTCCAGAATTCAAAGTAACCCTTTTGAAAAGCTTTTGGAGAAAGCTTAGTGATTTAGGGCCAGCTGGTGGCTTTCTGAAAAACTGATCAAAGGATTTCATTTAACCTCCTTTTTATTACTGCACATTTCCCTGAAGTAGCACAGCTAGGCATAAAAGATAAATGATTAGTTTTCCTGATTCCTTTGACATTGGAATCAATGTCTTCTCTTATTATGCAGGAAATACATACTGTCTGAAGGACACTTGATGGAATCACACTGCCTAGAGCTATAGTTTGCAAACCTAGTACAAATGAAACCAAGCAAAGAAAGGCAGAATAGAGGCCGGACTGGTGGCGCAGCAGTCAAGTGCACGCGCTCCACTGTGGCGGCCTGGGATTCACAGGTTCGGATCCCAAGCGCGCACCAACGCACCGCTTGTCAAGCCACTCTGTGGTGGCGGCCCATGGAAAGTAGAGGCAGATGGGCACGGATGTTAGCCCAGGGCCAGTCTCCCTCAGCAAAAAGAGGAGGATTGGCAACAGATGTTAGCTCAAGGCTGATCTTCCTCAAAAAAATAAAAAAAGAAAAAAGAAAGAATAAACAGGTAAATGAAAATTTGCTAATAACTAGACCTAAGCCCTGAAAACAGAAAGTTATATATCACGTCGTAGTGATTTTTTTCTTTAACAAGTTATTTAGCCTTTGATTAAAAAGTCTGAGATCATATTATAACACTGCTTCCATATTGAAAAATTCAACTTGACCAAATTTCACTTAGAGGATGTTTTCCAGGAACATAATCTTCTGTATGAATTGAATGTACACTTGGAAATATATCAATATTTTCCCACTAATTAATTCACATTAATAAGAGAAAATTTACTTAAATTGAACGTGGGGTGAAATAGCTGGAAGAAACATCTGAAGTGGAACGCCAGAATTCTAGCAGGAAAACCAATAAAAGAGGCAACTAAAAGTAAATTTGATTTTGATTTTGTGTATTGCTAACTTGACCTCTACATTTCTGACTACAATCCTGCTTTATTTAGGCAGTAATCTTTAGAAATTGAATTTTTATATAGTTCTTAAATTGTTGGCACTCAATTAAATATTTCAGGAAAAAATAAAACATATCTCCTATTTTTTTTTCAGATATTTCATCTAATCTGAGTCCTTTTATTTCCTTCTATTTCCTGTATTTTTTCCTTCTATTTTCTGGGACTTCATTCCAAGAAATAAATTGTCAAGTTAAAAAAACACATATTGCACAGGGTTTAAAGTTTCAAACTTTTGAATTCTTTGTATTCATTGGATCCTTAATGCAGCTAACACATGGGGATATATTATTACATTTATGCTCAGGATAAGGCAAAATTTAAAACATTCTTAATCATAAAATGAATGAGATCCTATTATTACTTATTGTTATGGGTCATTTCAAAGAAGGGAAAACCAGCCCACCAAAGGTAAAATATGGTGGATCCACGTCTTAATCATAGTAATGTACATATGCGGAGTGAGGAGCAGCTGAACCCAACATCTACTGTCTCAAAAACTACCAACCTGAGTGTACATGTATGTGTGGGGACAGAGTATATTCAGGTGCACATAACTAGAAAACAAGCATTCTTAAATATAGGGACAAGTGTAAATTCATATATTTATGCCCACCACCTCCACCAAAGAATCTGTTGAGGTGCTGACTCTACCGAAAGCTTCTTAAAGTCAGGCACTTTTGCTGTTTGGTTTGCATCGTGGAGAGTAAAACAAAACAATTCTATATGTGGATACTGAAACAATGCTTTCTGAACCCAAATTAATGTGGTCCAAATTACTACCCATTGCTCTCATTTCACACAC